AGATCCGGCAAACCTGCCTGCTCTAAATAGTTTCTCCCATCCACTGCATGAACACAAAACGTATAAGACTTTAATGGGAAGGAACTTTAATACAATTAGTAAACAATACAGGAAAGACAAAGAATATAGTTTCTAAATCAAGCACCCAAATTTACCCGTCCCAAATGGGTAAAAGTCCATGCAAACGGGATTGGCCCAGAGCAAGGCCTGAAAGCCTGCCACAGTCTAAAGTATCCTTTAGTGGGGACCCACAGAAAAGGATCAGAAACAACCAGACAAGTCTGGGAGGAAAAGAACAAAATCAAAATCAAGACCAAAACCGCCATTGTTATCCTCCCCATGGTCTCTCACCCACATCTGTTTCAACCAGTCCATGACTAAGAAGCAAATGCAGCTTCTTCACTTCACATGTCTCTCTGTTCCATGTGCCTCCTCCAGGTCTCCTTCTGGCTCTCCATCCTGCTTCCTTCCTTTCCAGTCTCTTCTCCAGCTTCTTCTCTTCTCTTTAGCTGCACCCTACTTTGGGTGGAGCAGGGAACCTGGAACCTCCCTTTTTCCTGGGGACCAACCTGTTACATTACCACACCCACCATGATCTACCATCTACCACAGTCCATTGGGTCCTCCTTCCCCCTTTGCTTCTTTATTGGAACATCCTTGTCAACTTCTGTTAACAATATTTTTTGGTCAAAGTAAAATCACTTTGTGATGTGGTCTCTCGTCCCATTCTCTCACAGAAGAGGGGTAAGATTACTGTTCTGTGTTTATTAATTGGTGGGATTTACCATTTTGTCCTGTCATTTTCTTTCAGATAAGATTTTATTTTTTGTAATTAAATGATTCAATTTGTTTTATACATAGAGAAGTATACAGATTGTGTATTTTTCTTCACTTTAATAAGCTATATGTTTTCAAGGAAAATCTCTTCTGATTTTTCAAATTTATTTCTATACATTCCTCATAATATCTTCTTTTTGAAATGTTTGCAGTACCTGTAGTGATGCTCTTTTTCCTCTTTGAATTTGGCAGTGTTTGCTTTCTTGTTCAACTTGAACAGTTAGACAAGGCATTTATTTTAACTTTTTTAGAACATCAATTTTTGGCTTTATTGACTTTCTCAATTATTTGTGAATTTTCTATCTCATTAATTTCCTCTTTTATCTTTAATTGATTGTCCTTCTAATTTCTTTATATATATGATTTTTTTTAAAAATGAATACATTAGTCATTTAACATTTTATAGTTTCTTCTCTAGTATTTATGTATTTTAATGCTAAACACATCTTTTTATGCATTTCTTCTGCTGCAAATCACAAGTTTTGATATTTTTGTTTCCCTCACTCAAAAATATTTTAAAATTTCCTTTGTGACTTTTTTCACATATGGATATTTGAGAATCATGTCACATAACTTCTAGTATCTGAGAATTTCTATTTATCTTTTTGTTATTGATTTTTACATTAATTCTGCTATGGTCAGAGTTCATATTATATTTCAAATCCCTTGAAATGTTATATTTTACTCAAATGTTGGACGGTTCATTGCAGCTAAGTATGTATTCAATTTTGTAAATGTTCATTTTGCATTAAAAAGATATAAATTCTGTAATTATTGTGAGCAGTGTACTACACATGTCAAAAAGGTCTAGTTTGTTAATCATGCTGTTCAAATCTTCTATGTTTCTGTGAACCTTAATATTTATTTGTTCAATCAGGTGTTGAAAGTTGTGCTAATATCTACTATGACCATGAAATTATCTAGTTCTTTTCATTCTTTCAGGTTTTGTTTGTTGTTATATATTATGGAATTATTTTATTTTCCTGGGTATTGACCTTGTTACATCACAAAGTGTCTCTCTTTATCCTTAATAGTTTCCTTATTTAAGTCTGCTTTATCTGGTATTAATTTCACTTGTTATCTTTCTTTTGTTAGTATTTTCATGGTATATTGGATATCTCTTGGGCATTATCTCATATTCTCTTGATGATTATATACAATTTCATTATTAATTCTGATTTTAGAAATATGATGGAAAAATTCTTTCTAATATAGAGATTGGAACTGGCATGTCACCTCATTTCATATAACAGAAAAATATTGTCATCCATGCCAATATATATACTAGTGAATTTACTAAACCCGAGGGTTAAAAAATAAATGAGCATCAAGACAGAACTCAAGTCATATACCAAGAGGAAAATATCAGGTTTATATTAGATTTCCCTTTATGTACTTGATGAGAGAAAGTAGTATTGTTACAGGGCAGCCCCTATATAATCCTTTCCCCTTAACATTATCTGTTGCATTAGGGATATGTGTACACTGATAATTTTCACATAAACAACAAATAAATACTAGTGTGTAAGAATTTTGGGAATACAGAACTTATAAAACAAATGTCAGGATACAAAGGAAACTACATCATACCCCTCAGAATAATAATAATGAAGCAGATCAAGTTATCTACCCTGCCTTAAGGAACCTGGGAGATCAAGGAGAAAGAGGAAGACACTTAACATGACAGACAAGGAGAGGGGGTTGCCTCATCCTTATTCTGAGAGTCAAGATAAAATTCTTAGATAGAAAGGATATGCACACTGATAAGCCTACAACTAGATGTGGCCCTCCAAACTACATGTTTCTGGGATGTCTTCTTCCATGAGGGAAGGTGAAGGACTTGGGCAAGGACAGCAGAAGGTGCTCCTACCCTTCAGGATCCTCACCACCTCAACACAAACCAATCTACATTCTTTAAGTAATGGTAATGAACCACCTGAGGCTCACAGGACCTTGGTTGACTTCTACTTCTCATACCAAGGTGATAAGAGACTTTACTCTGGGCATATAAAAGAAACAAAACAGCCTACTTGACCCTTTTGGGAAACCCAATGCAAACAAATAGTCCAAGATTAACTGAATAGCAAAATCTTGCTAACCTAGAGATAGATAAATGTAAAAACTTTCCAAATGATGAAAATATAATAAAAAATATTTGTGATGAGCATTTAATCTAAATATAGAATTAAATTTTGAAATGTGCCTTAATAATGGAATATTATGAACCACAGTAATATATATAAATAGCAAAATGCTGAGAAAGAGAAGTTTAAGTGTGCCAATTTCATGCTTTGTCATAGGACAGAATGGATTCCATCTAAAATTATAATTTAAAATATATAACTGCACAGTCTCTCAGCATTTTCACAGTGTTGTATTAATCTTGGTGAAAATTTAACCTTTTATTTAGTTAATTTAAGCTTAACTGATCTTACTACAGCATATATGAGAAAAGAGATGCCTAAATTAGTGGTGTAGTTGTTACCCGTGACTATTGGGGATGGCAGGTTTTTGATAATTTTATCGTTTGTTGTTCTTTTCCTTATTGTTTGGTTTTTTCCTTTCTTTTAATGATCATACATCAACTTTACAAAATCTACAGTGATATAAAAAAATTAAACGGACATAGCAACAGGGCCATTCTTATCTCTATGAATTTTTCTCACCTTCTTCTTACTTTCAGGGAGAAACTTTATGTTTTATCTTGAATGATGCTGCTGATTGAATTATTCTTTGTCATCGTGAGCCTAATGTGATCAATTTTTATTTGGGTTTCACTAATGAAGAGTTAATCTTTTTTTCTCTGCAACTCCTAGCATTCTATATCATTCAGTATCACCTTTCATATTCCAGCCTTCCCTGTTTTAAGTCAGGTCTGTCATCTCTTCTTCTTAGATCTATGAACAGACAGTGTCACCTAGAAGGACACTCTCTGAGGAGCAGGATGGCAGTGGAATGCTACTGGTTTGAAAGCTCTTCAGATTGACAGCAATTCTGCCATGGACTACAATAGAGACAAAGAATTAAAATGCAGAGCCTCCTATTTTTGGCTCAAACATGGGGAGGACAGGAAAAATTGGCTCACAATTATTGAGTGCCTGATGTATGCCAGGCATGGTCATAGCAGCTCTTGGAGTTAGATGGTACTCAACATATACATGAAGTAACAGAAATTTGGGGAAGATTCGAGAATTGTCTGTAGTCTTGTGGCTAGCTTGGAAAACCCGTATTTCACTGTGCTCTTTTCTGCTGCTGCTGAGGAACTGTTTCCATTTGTTATTTCTTCAGAAAAAATTAATAATTTTGTTTGCTTTACTTAAAAATAATCCTGAAGTTTTATCTTTGATACAGATATTACATTTCTGTTCCCTTTTTTTTTTTTTTAAGATGAACACAAAGACAACAGAAGCAGACTATTCCTGCCAGAATCAAAATTTACTGGTGAAACAAGATCAAACCCACAAAGAGTTAATTACTCCAGCTCTCATTAAGTGTAGTCTTCTTAAAAGAAAAAGAAAAAGCCTGCTTTATCCTGGCAAAAAGCCTGTAAAAAAGGGACGATCTGTCACAGACTCACAGAACACAGTAATTAAGGTCTGAAATGCTTCCCAATCAAAGAACAGGAAGAGTTCACTCAGAGTTAACTGTTTAAACAGCATCCCTTGTGAAATGGCATTGCCACTGTATGTTTTTAGATTGAATTGATTTAATTTCTTACTGTTTGCTTCTAAGTAGGAATTAGAGTCTCCATTAGGAATTGCTAATGGTGCCCATGCTGGACTCTCTTAGCTCAGGACAGAAGAAAAGAGACGGACTAATGTAATGTGCATGTTCTGTGCGCTGCAGCCCGAGCCTGGTCACAAGCTAATGTTTGCAGCAGGCAGGAATAATGAACAATTAATGAAGCCACATTGTGTTTACATGTCTCATTTTGAAACTAATCATTTATATGCCCTAAGTAAGACGTTGTGCTTTCACAAAAGCATTAAAATTCACAAGTTAATGAAAATTGTACATTGTTCCAAAAGTAGGTTTAAATTTCACATGTTTCATTTCACATCAGAGACCCAGTCAGTCAACACATTCATGTAGTGACACCTGTAACTTACTCTTGGTAGTTTAATTTAGTACTAGTTGATTTCCTTTCATAATAAAACAATCACCTGGACTCAGCTTCGTGTGTTGGTCCATTGTTCTTAGCATCACTGCTAACTAGTATTTAGGCTTCATCCAGGTCATCCGTCTCCTTATAAAGTAGAGCAAATGAACATAAATGTTAGAACTGTCACTTTCCTCTTCCAAGGATGTGAGGATCGCCATTTTTCTCAACCCACAAAGAATTTGTTTTTATATGCATGTCACACAGTCATTTGTTGCTTGTATTAAGGGACAGATTTAGTAAATCATATTTAGGTCTGATGTGGCTTGTGAACAGAAGTGCTATTCACTTTTTAAAAGCGATGGACTATTTTGGTTACCTGATAAAAATACTAGCTAATACTTGTTGAGATTTTATTCTTTGTGAGATAGTAAGCCCTTTCTGCATTGTTCTTTTTAGCATTTGCAACAACCCTATGAAGAAACCATTCTAATTATACCTGTTTTACAGATGGGTTAAATGACTCCGAAGGTCAGATAGAACAGGGTTCATACCCAGATAATATACCCACAAGAGCTCAATTGCCCTATCATATGTACTCTTTAGAATTATGAGTTGTAGATGCTTTTGTCTGTGAGACAGGACACCATTTAATGACTAGCAAGGAATATAGAACATTTCAAGGATCTAACATTATGTCCTGATACTGACAGATTAACCAGACATGAATATGTCTCATGTTTATACCTGCAAAATTTTAGATCCTTTAAATCAGTGAAATGAGAATGATATTTGGGTTTTCACACATCACATCTGACTACTAGAATATTGTACACATGAAGAACAAAAAGAAGTCATCCATTTATGAAACTAGAGGGAGAGCCTCTTCCTCTATCTCATTCTTTCCTTGTTCTGTCCCTCTTTTAAAATGTATTTAAAATCTCATCACCAAACTATGGGTTTACTTTATTACTAACTCATGCAATCAATTTTCCATTCAAAATGGCTTCTCATATTGGAGAAATTGTGATATTCAAGGGACTAAGCTTACAAATCATTTTATGCTTCTTAGTAAGATTCAAACTCTTTGGAGAAACTTTGGCCTCTGGCACAATATTTTCACAGTCATAAGAGTTTAGGTTCTTATGATCTCAGTGGCATTTAACAATAAATCCTGAACTACATGTTTAGCAAACGCAGTAGGAAAATGGATGTCAAGTCCATTAATCACAGATGAAAAAATTTTCCTGGGTTGGAATGTCAACCAGGCATTAACTGTGCCTTGCAGTATAAAATCTATTCAAATGACCTCCTGATTAGGTCAGCTTGTCCTTCTGCCCTGAGATATTTTAAAAACAGAAACCAGCAATTAGAGCTATAATCCTTATGCTACTTTAGACAGTGTAGTAGATTTTTGGTCATAGGGACAATCATAAACAACTCCTATGTAGCATTTCACTCAGAGTTGTTAGCTTGATCAGATCGCACACAAAACCAATATAAAATTATGTTCTGCCAAGTAAGTATGCCTATTAGATGAGAAATATTTCAGGGTAATTTAAAGTAGTCTGAAAATACACATTTGAAACTGAAGGATTTATTGAAGATAGATTTTGGGAAAAGTAAAAGTAAGCAAAATGGTGTTTACTTCTTATATTCAGATAAAAGGAAACATTAACACAAAAAGGTCTGAATGGTACCTATCAAAATTGATAGGGTAGACACTGCGGTGTTGGCATTTATGACTATATTAGAAATGCAGTGATATTAACTGCTAACCATTTGAAAGTTGCAAATTCCCATTTATGAATTCCTGGTATAAATGCACAGCCATACAATCAAGTACATTTTCAACCTGTGAATCACTAAAGACTTGGGAGGCAGCATCTTGTCCCTGGCAGATGCTATCCACATTCCTCAGCTCTCCCGGTGGCGTTCAGAAACAGAAGCTGCTTCTGGAGAGAAGGAGAATAAAGACTCCAAAAGACTTAAATTAGAGTGGCTTTGAAATGAAACACATTTAAAAAATGTGCTCTAGTGCTGCTGCAAAATGATGCTATTGTGTTTGTCGTACTTCTGTAAAAAATGAGATCATTTATACAATGATAGAGACAGGGAGGGGGGAGAGAGAATTGGGAAATGTTGGAAAAGTTTGATGATATTCTTTTCCTTTCTGGGCATTGGGAAATTCCACACTTGTCACTCATATTAGCAGAATGTAGAACATTAGCTGAACAACGCCAGGATGCCCTCGTGGGAAGAGCCAAGACTACTTTGCCCATCACGTTAACCTCTTGAGTACCACGTTGCTAGAAGATTCAGCATGCTTGGAGGAGTTATAGGAAGACATATGAGGGGAATATGCTACAAAGCATGGGTATTATAAAGGACAGGAAATCGTAGTATTTGGGAAAGCCATTCTGCCACCCAGAGGGATGTCCTTTTCACTTCCTGTTTAGTAATTTACAATGTGAAAATGACATTGCACACTCTCCCCATCACTGCCACTCCCCTCTTCCTCTTCCAGCTTCCTCCACACACACTCTTTGAAGAACCCCGAGGAGATAGAGAACTTATTAACTCTGCTTATTTACAACTAACCTATTCTGATCTGTGCATTCAACGATTGTCCATTTCTTTCATATTTTTTTTCTTATTCTTAGATTTTATCTTATGTATCTTAGAGATCTAAATTTTATGTATCTTGGAGATCTAAATTGGAAAATGAATATAGTATCTATGAGTTAATTCTCCAATGAACCAGGCGCCTTATGTAGAGTCCAGTGTGAATGAAATACAGTCTTTGTTCTCCAAGATCTTATACTATAGGGTCATAGTGAGCACATTTGTTTATAAAGCAATGGGTACAATTCCTCATTAATTTCCCCAAAATTAGAGGGGAAAATTTAGAATATTCTACCTTTCACCCAAAAGTTTTAAGCAGAAATATTTTCAAAATCAAATTCTAATTGAGAATTTGGAATGGCGAGTTCTTTGTGAAAAAGAACTCATAATTGAACAAATATTCTGTTTATCATAGGAGGAAATTCATATTTAAAGACCATCCACCCTCCTCATCCTGTATATTCTCTCATCTTCCTTGATTTCTAATTGTTCAGGTCATAGATACTTTCACTTATTTATCAAGTTTTCCTGAAATTCTTTATTGGTCTCCAAATCAAGAACCCCATCATCTATTGGAGGAGAAAGACATAAACAGAAACTCCAACATGGCTTGTTGAGGAAAGATGAGAAATTTTTCTGGAGGAGATTGTAACAGCTTTCCAAGTATAGAGGCAAGGGAAAAGTCTGTATATTAATACACAAAAGCTTAAAAAACCTTGTAAAATTGAGGAGAGTGTGGTTATTGGAGGTTTCTTGAGAATCAGGCTACAAGGAGATGAACAAAGTGGAAAGCAGGTAGGAACGTAAAGTGAGGTCTTGCTAGGAAGATAAAAATCTGGATGGCCCCTTTGGCAGAGGGGTAATTTGGGAGGTTTTAAAACATGAACACAGCATGGCCAGTTAAGTTTTTAAAGAGTGAGGTATTAAAATGAAATAGAGAGCACCTTTCTGGTATTCTGGGAAGTGATGGGTGACCAGCTATGATTTCATGAGGGTGACCTAGAAAAAAGAGAGCCTAAAAAGAGCAGTGATGGTGAAGCTGCCTGCACTTTGGAGAGGATGCCAGTAAATGTACTTAATAGAAGGTGGTGACAAATTTGATAGGAGATGAAGGGGAGACAGAAGAGAGGAATTACTCTGAATTTACCACATTGGTGGATTGTCATAAGAAGGGAAAATTGCTAACGGTGCACATGTTGGAGTCAAAGTAATGAGTTTGGTTTGGGACATGGACATGGGATGCAAATGTCTGTTGGGGACTCTAAATATCTGTCTAAATTAAACTCTACCAATGAGCCCATCACTATATCCAGTGTATAGTGCCAGTCTGCTGAGGGTTCTTTTTTCATGCTTCTTTGCTGCCCCTTGTTCAGACCTGGTTAGCCAGGTAAGGGAAGAGGAGTGCAAACTTCAGTCGTAGAAATAGAGACAAGTCTCGCGATGGCCTCCTTTAGCTTTCAGCCTGTACCAAGTCTCAGGTAAGAGCAGTAAGAAACTGTCACACTGCATTGAATTTGGAGCATTGACTAGTAGGCAATATTGGTATTTAAATTACAAACATGATTGAGATTGTCTATTCAAGATACTTTGGGACTTTTTGTTAACTCAGTGTAGAGAATAGCTGGGATAATCATCCAATGGCAGGGGAAGAATTGGTGATGCAGGAAATTTGAAGGGACAATGGGTGACCAAAATTAAGTGCATTTTAATCACCATTCCCCAGTCAGGAGTCTACACTGATGTAGAGCTTGCACTGAATGAACTCTAGATTGAAGCTTGGGTAGTACCAACATTACAGAGTTGACAGAGCAAGAGGCAATTTCTCTTTTCTTTAGAAGAGAAATTTCTGGGAAATAACACCTACCAATTGGGATTTAATATTTTTTTAATGATTTATTATTTATGCAAACAAGAACTGGGGTACAGGCCAGAAGTGCAAGGGGTGAAAGGATTCACCAGAGACAGAGTGGGGAACAGAACAGGCAGACTGACTGAAATACACTGCTGAGGGAAGCAGCAGGAGAGACAGGAGAGGTCTGCTGCACCACGTGGGTAGCTCCCTGGCAGGCCGGGGATCAAACTAGTGCTGTAGAGGCTGCAGATAGCTTCACAGTGCTGTGCTTAACCCCTTGAACCCCCAGGGAGGCCCGGGATTTAATATTCTTAAGAATGATCTTATTAGCAATCATCTTTTCAGATAAGTACACTCAAAACTTAGAGAGGGAAATATTGCTGCCAAGATCACATAGCTAATACATGACAGGACCAGGACCTGAATCCTGATGGTTCTAATGTTAAAGCCATGTGCTAACTCTTTCCTAAATCTTTAAAAAATCACTAATTTAAAATTACAAGGAAAAAAGGGACAACAAACTAAGAGCAATGCTAGAACCAATAATATAGGCTTTGAACATTTGAAAGACAGTGTTGTTAGGAATCTGATGTTTAGTTGGTGTTGCAAAGGAAATTGACTTATAATCTTAAATACTGTAAATCTTCATTACCAAACTGTAAACATGACTACCAAACTTGAGCCTTCTCTCTTGCATGAGATTCAACTCAATGTAATGGTTGAGGGCAGCAGAGATACTGCGTCAGTGACTTGCTGGCTTCTGCAGAGGCCTGGGTCCTGATGAGACTCTGTTCATTGTTTCTACCCATCCTTTCCATCCACTCCTTATAGACTTTTCTTAGTTGTGACTCACAATTATAAAAAAAATTCTCCTAAAAATAATTTTACATTTCATTTTCAGTGATGTCCCATATGATGATCTTTAAGCATTCCATTCCATAAAAGTGAATATATGTCCTATATATGTTACTTCACCTATTTAAAACAGGTTATCAAGGATTCCTGGGTTGCTTTAAGAAGGGTGAGATTTACTTGTCTCTTCAGTTTTCATCAATAATGGCATGCAGTGAAAGTAAAGACACACTCTTCACTGAAAATATGTGCCAGTAAGGTGAGTTATGACTTGAGAAGAGGAGGCTCCAGCCAACTTCCAGCCGAGGGAGCCATTGTGAAGGAGGGTCTCCAATCATGAGCAGTGATTTTTTTTTTTTTTCATCTTAAAGACTCTTGTTGCTTGACCCTGTCTTCATTTAAGTTTTAATTTTTGAATCATTTCTTAGAGGAACATCTCGCAGAACACTAAAATAAGGTGAAGTATTTCTTTTGAAGGAAGCTTGATTGCTGAGGTGAGAAATGCCAGCCACAGCTCAAAGTAGTACAGAATTTGTACCATTAGACTGAAAATAAAGGTCTGTAGCATTCTGGTTTTCCGTTCTCTGGTATTACAAGTACTTCCCTTACACTCTTCTTACAATGATGCAAATCCCATCTTATTCTAAAGAGTACCTTAGTGATAGTGCAATTTTCAAGTAAATTGAAATCTTCCCATGTCTTTCAATTTAATATCTCTCTCTCTCTCTCTCTCTCTCTCTCTCTCTCTCTCTCTCTCTCTCTCTCGTGTGTGTGCACGCACACACACACACACACAAACACACACACACACACTCACCCCTGAATGAATGCTAAAGAGAGGCTGCTTTGCATGCCATTTGCCCTGAATAAAGACCTGGCTACCAAAGGAGACTCTGTCCTGACCCTAGGAATACTTGTTATTTGATTTCTTAAATTAATTTTTTATTTGTAATTTCAGGTTTTGTTGACCTTAGAGAACTCTCTGAAAGAGCAATCTGAGAACCGATTTCAGTGTGTGGACAAGCCCACGGAGAAAAAGAAATAATAGGTCTGATAGGCCAAATTTTGGATTCATATTTCAAAGGTCAGAAGTACAGATTCCATTCCAGATGTACTTATCATAAAATTTCTTTTAAACCAATTTATTCATCTTTAGTTTAAAAATATATAAGATGATATATGATCCAGAATATTTCCTATATTTTGGGTAAAAAACTGAGTTGTAAAAATAAACAGATGACCATGGTTAAAAATAAGATCTTAGTCCTTTATCATTAGTGTTGTGTGCAAAAATGTTCTCCCAGTCAGTGGGGTTTCTCTTTGTTTTTGTTATTGTCTCTTTTGCTATGCAGAACCTCTTTAATTTGATGTAGTCCCAGCTGTTTATCTTTGCCTTCACTATCACTGCTTTGGGTGATGTGTCTGTAAAGATGTTTTTGATGTGCATATCACATAGTGTTTCGTCTATATTTCCTTCTATGTATTTTATGGTTTCAGGAATTTTGTCTAGTTCTTTAATCCATTTTGAGTTGATTTTTGTGTATGGTGTGAGGTAGTGGTCAAGCTTCATTCTTTTGCATGTAGCAACCCAGTTTTCCCAGCACCATTTATTGAACAAACTTTCTTTGCTCTAATGCAAAGTCTTTGCTCCTTTGTCAAAGATTAGTTGACCATATCACAAAAATCTTCAAAGAGCTGATGAGACTCAACAACAACAAAGAAAATAATCCTGTCAAAAAATGGGCAGAAGAGTTAAAAAGAAACTTCTCTGAAGAGGAAATGCAAATGGCCAACAGGTATATGAAAAAATGTTCAACATCACTTGTAATCAGGGAAATGCAAATCAAAACTACCGTGAGATACCATCTTACACCAGTGAGAATGGCACATATTAAAAAAACTAGCAACAACAAATGTTGGCGAGGATGTGGAGAAAAAGGAACTCTCCTGCACTGCTGGTGGTAGTGCAAACTGGTCAAAACACTATGGAGAGCTGTGTGGAGATTTCTTGACCTACTAACCATAGAGCTTCCACATGATCCAGCAATTCCACTCCTAGGTATTTACCCAAATGACACAGAAACAGTAATTCCAAAGGGTACCTGCACCCCTATGTTTATAGCAGCACTATTTACAATAGCTAAGCTTTGGAAACAACCCAAATGCCCAAAAAATAGATGACTGGATCAAGAAGATGTGGTACATATACACCAGGGAATATTACTCAGCATTCAAAAAAGATAAACACATGCAATTTGCAGCAACATGGATGGCACTGGAAGGGATCATGCTCAGCGAAATAAGCCAGAAAGAAAAAGAAAAATACCGGGTGGTCTCACTCATAGCAGGAATCTAGAAAACTTAAATAAGGGACCAGGAAAATGAATAACTATAAGAAAGTGAAAATCAAAATCAACAAAAAACTATGAACCAGAGACACTCTATGGGGGGTGGGGGGCGGAGAGGGGAGGAATTGGGGTCAAAATAAGGAGGTTGCAATTGTATGGGGAATATAAAAATAAAATTTATTAAAAAAATAAGATTACACTGAGCCTCCATCTATTTCAATACAAAATAAAGGTTCAGAGGTGAATGGACATATTCACAATGAAATTAAAAATACTCCTTTAAAAAAATGAGAACCCAAAAATCTCCAACAGAATTTTTGCTAGATTCTCAGTGTGATAGACTGGTTTGGGTCTGTGCAAACTCTGGAATGTGAGTATGACTTGGCTTGGAGTTTTAAAGGTGGAATGGTAGATGTCTTAGTTTAAAACAACTCAATTCACAGCATTCTGTCACCACTTACCCAAAGTCATCTCCTCACATGCAATATATATTCATTCTATCTCAATAGCCCCAAAAGTTGGAACACACCATCGACTCTAAAATCTAAAGTCCAAAGTCTCATCTAAATATCATCTAAAACAGATATGAGTGAGAAATGTGGTATGATTCATTCTGATCAAAATCCCTCTCCACTTGTGAACTTATGAAATCAGAAAAAATATGCTTTCTGATATACAATGCTGGGACAGGCATTCATTTTTGGAATTCCATTCCCATTCCAAAAGGGAGGAAACTGGAAAAAAGAAAGGGATAATGGATCTCAAGCAATACAAAACCTAGCAAAACAAATTTCATTGGATCTTAAGGCTCTAGAATATTCTCCTTTGGCTTGCTCTCCTGCTATCCAAACTCATTGTGGTGGCCGCTTCACTCCCATGCCTTTGGGGCAGCCATGTCCTTCAATCCAGCAGGGCACCACCCTTAAGGCAGTAGATGGGGAGAATTCTTATCTCAGAAATGGTAGAAGCAGCCCTATCCTTTGAAACTAAGGAGGAACCAACCCTACTCCCTGGATCTGTGATATTAGAAGCAATGCTCTCTCAATAGCCTTCAGGCTCATTTGTCCTTTTTATAAAATATAGTGCATATTCACACCAGAATAGCTTTATTGTTCTGTCCTATAGAATCCAAGAAGTTTCACATCTATCCATCCTTCTGTCCTGCTTTATCAGTTCCTCTTAGTTCAAACTGGCAGTGTCTTTGCTGGTATAATCCCCTTTCCTTTATTGAGCTGTGCTGTTGGTGTTCTTTTCATGCTCATTCTCTCTCCTTTTCCTTCAAATGCACAGGCTGAGAAGTTTCCAAATCTTCAAACTCTAATTCCTTTTGACTTAACAATTCCAATTTTAATTCATTTCTCTCTTCTCGCATTTTACTATCAGCAGTCATGTGGATGCAAACTGGTCCTTCAACCCTTTACTTACAAATCTCAATTAAATAACCAATTTCATTACATTAGAAAACATTTGAACCAAGTTCTCTACCAAAGAAGGAAGTATTTCTCTTCCTCCCTTCATTCTATTGCTATTAACATAAATATATTCCCCCCGCCCATTGCATTCATACCAAATTCATATGCTGACATCCTTTCCTCCTGTGTGATGATGTTTGGAGATGAGACATTTGAGATGTAATTCAATTTCTATGAAGTCATTCATGCAGGGCCTCAAGATGGAATTGGTGTCCTTATAATAAGACACAACAGAGAGATTTACTCTCTTCATCATGCAAAGACACGGTAAGAAGCTAGTCAGCCATCTGCAAGCCAGGAAGAGGGCTCTCACCAGGGGACTGAATCTCTTGACACTTTGCTCTGGGACTTTCCATAAATAAATGAGAAGAAATGTGTATTATGTCAGTCAGTCAGTTTGTAGTGTTTTGTAATAGCAACCCAAACTAAGACAGATTTTGGTATTAGGATGTAGAGTGCTGCTGTAACAAGCACCTAAATATGTGGAAGCAACTTTGGAACTTGATAATGGGTAGAGGCTGGCGGAGTTTTGAGGTATATGTTAAGAATATAAATATTAAGGGAAATTCTTTTGAGATCTTGGAGGGGGATAAAGTACATACAACTGGACATTGAAAGAAAGGTGATCTTTATTATAAAGTGGCTGTGACTCATTTGCTTCAATGCTAGCTTGCTCACATCATCTGTGGGCTAGAGGGAGACTCAGAGAGTTCTTGTCCCCATCTCCAGCCTTGTCCCCACAAACACATGTCTTGTTAATTCAATCACTCTGTGATCTTGAGCAAATTATTTTACAGGCCTGGAGCTGGATTTTCTGATTTTCTCATGGCTGAGTAAATAATTTCAAAGGCTAGGCTAATAATAATATGTGAGCAGAGTTAGACTAAAGGCCTGTGGCAAACATGTAGTGCATGCCTCAAGAAAGCCTGTTCAAATGGTTTCAGTGGTTCATTTAAAATTTTAGAGGATACATTTAATTCCTACTCTTCCTGTTCCCTGAAGTTCATGAAGATCAGGAAACTTTTCCCATCCTGCCCAGATTCTCTGGGGTTGTGGTCAAAAGGACTTGCACATATTCTCCCATAGTACACTCCTTGAACTTGTAATGTTTATACTTGAATCTATGCTATTTGGTCTGAGGGAGATGAAATTTGAGAATATGATACATCAGAAACAGCCACTGAGATAGTCAACTCTAATGAAGTCTTGGCATTTTAAAAATCAAATTGTTACAGTTAACTAATTGGCCCTGTGTATTCTGGAATGCTTTTTCTTCCTTCAATTAAGGAATGTTGACTGCATAGGCTGTGGTTGCCCTTCTGCTTCACAGAAGATCTTCATGTGGGGTAGAGAGGGAAACATATTCAAAAGCTATTTGTCTATTCCAAATTCTCTGAATGGGTTGACTTAACTGGTGTCAGGATTCAAGGTTCACAAAATTGATAAGCTCAAAAATGCATTTAATTCATGTAGATGAAAATTTTATACAGAATTAAATGATTATATAAAATGTTGTCTCTTAAAAATTGTGAAATTATTTTATAAGATTTCATGTCATCTTCTGGGATGTTGTCTGCAGGAAAGGCCCAGTTGTTTGGGTATTTTTATGCCAGATATGTATTTAAAATCTTGAGTACTTAAATTTCAAATGAGTGGTGTGTGTGTGTGTGTGTGTGTGTGTGTATGAAGGAAAGAGAGAGAGAGAGAGAGAGAGAGAGAGAGAGAGAGAGAGAGAGAGAGAGACTAGATATGCCAAGGAATTCCCTGTTAGTCTCTTGATAATGACGTGCTGGGGAAGGATTGTGTCTCAGTATTTTGGTTTCTTTGGACTTGATGACAGTTTGGGGATGGGCCTACACTCTATTTTTCTGAGTTACAGCAGAATCCAGCAGGAGGGATACATTTGAGAAAAGGGCGTCCAAATATTAGTCATTGCCTCATGAGATTTACTTAATCATGGACTTGTTGATCAAGGGCAGCTCCACATGACCTTCTTCTCTGGTTCAGGCATCTGTGGGGAGTTCTCATAAATACTGAGGAACCATTATTGCCTTGGTTGCTGCCACGGGGCCTCCTCTGCTCCCTGCTCTCTTCTGTCACACCAACCCTTATTCCGTGGTTCACTGGTTATCTCAAAGCCTGATGTCAGCCTCACCAGTTGTGGGTTGTGGTGCTTAGTCCTCTGTGATATCACTGACTAGCAGGAGTTTGTACTTTGTAATCTAATTGTCACCTGCAAGACAGAAAAGCTCTTTACCTTTTGGTGTATATAATGTCTTAGGCCGCAGTACAGGAGACTTTACTTTTTGAGTTCCTTTCACTGGTCCTAATGGAGTATTATTTCAGTTTATTTGGAACTTGGCACAATTTCACTTAACTGAGGCTGGAAGACAAAGGGATTTTGTGCAGCGACACACACTAATCATTCCTTTCAATCAGTAACACTTCCAGGGTCCTGGATGGAACTGAAAAACCCTGACGCTGGGCCTTCCTGGTGGTGCAAGGGGTTAAGATGCAGCCTATGAAGCTATCTGCAGCCACTGCAGCACAAGTTTGATCCCCGGCCAGGGAGCTACCCACATGGTGCAGAAGACCTCTCCAGACTCGCCCGCTGCTCCCTTCAGCAGTGTATTTCAGTCGATGTGCCTGTTCTGTTCCCCACTCTGTCTCTGGTGTCTCCTCTCAGCCCCCACACCTGTGGCCTGTATCCCAGTTCCTGTGTGCATAAACAAATAAATCTTAAAAAAAAAAAAAAAAAGAAAGAAAAACCCTGACTCCTTTGTCCCTCAAGTTGATTTGTGGCATTACCTGGACTCCCTATCTTTGTCTTACCTGTGCTCCCTGTAGCTTTCTCTTTTTCTTTCCTTCCTTCCTATTCTTCTTCCTTTCCCTCCTTGGTTCCCTTCTTCTCTTCTCTCAACTGTCCCTCTTGATTATTTATAGATGTATGTAGACAAGATCTTGAGGGAACTGTTGAGAATGAGGGATGAGGGAAGGTGGGAGAATGAAGCTCAGGAAGGTACAAAGAATTGACAGACAGGGCTTCCCCAGGCTGCCTCTGAGATCTGCTGTTAATCTCCCCAAGGCAGGTCTGGTTAAGTGTTTGACTTGCTTCCTGGGCTCTGGTAGGATTGGAGGTAGTTATCTGTGTGACTTCTCTCTCCCTCCCCCACTATGACATAACACTTAGAGAGCACAAACTTGAGGGAGAGGCATCACTAAGAAAGGGGGATTTGGGTAAACACACTTTAAATTTTTTGTCTACTGCAAATAACCCAGAATAGAGCCTGTAATATAAGGTGAAGAACTAAGGACCAAATATAAACCCTATTTATTTTATCTGTTTGTCTTTGTGGATTTAAGTTAACCAGTATTATTGAATCCTTACAGCATTATATTCTAATTAATGTGTGTGTATGTGTGTGTGTGTATGTGTATGTCTAATGAGTTTTCAGAATAATAAGGCATTTATAAAACTCTAATGAAGGGCATTCTTTTTATCTTTATTGACTTAGCAGCATAATCAAGACCAACTTAGAAAGGTTATATATGGTCAAAAGAAATTTATGAAGAGTGGCTATTAAGAGACAGAGCATATATACTAAGACTGTGGTTAAATAATGGTAAGTAGGACGTGTTTATTAAAATGATGCAGAGATTTTATCCCTTCATTCTTGATGTCTCTTAGTACCTGACATTATACTGCTATGGTTTCCATGGAAACAGCACACACTTTTCCTTTCAGCTGACCTGAAGTTCAAGCCCTGCTGTTGCAATAGAAATTCTCAGAAACACCTCCACTTTTATTAAAAACAAAAATACCAAATCTATGCAAAAAGTAAATGCAAAAAAAAAAAAGGACAAGAAAATCCATCAACTATATTATAGAAAAGAAAAGAGAATGTGCAATATTTTCATTAAGAGAGAATCAAGGAACAATTTACTATGCTGGAGGTTTAGAACGTCTGTCATTTCCTTCCCCTAAATTACCTTAGAATTTATCCTCCTGAGCCTGTCTTAACATCTGCACCTTTCATTTCTAATTCAATATGTTTTACTATTTTTAGTTTTCTGGAAGTATCTTTTTTTTATGATTTAGGAACTTGTTTCTCAGTGACTCACAAAAAATGTTGATTTGGTCTATAAAAAAAAAAGGAGGCTAAATTTAGAGTGGGATTGCTGGAATAAGTCATTTCACATGCGGTCACAAGGTGGGTTGACCATTGTCTCCTTTTGTTTTGGCTGTTAGCTATGATGCTTATGCCACCAAAGGTAATGGTTTGATCTGGACTTTGGGTCTGTTCCTCTGGGATTTTCTTAACTCTGACTTCTGTGTCCTAACTGTTCTCAGGTCAGCTGCTTTACTGTGGTGAATGCCTGAAGCTATTACCCAGGTCACATTAGCCACTATACATATACAAGAGTAAGAAAATGAGAATGATCTTTCCCAGAATTCCCTGTTAAACAGTTTCTTCACCTCTACTCTTTTGATTGGGTCAAGGTCACATCTATGGGTTACTAACTGGGCTGGACACAGGCTTATGCTGATTCGTTTTGGGCCTGAGGCACATGCTCAACTCCTGGGCCACAGGGAGTGAATTTCCAAATTCACTCTGGGCTGTGGGGGGCAGAGACCTGGAGAGCAATGTAAAGTTTAGGGAAGTTACCAGATGAAGAAGAATGGATCGATGCTGGGGAGATAACCATTGTCTTCTCTATTTCTTTCAATTTTTTTTTTTAAAGATTTATTTTATTTATGCATACAAGAACTGGGCTATAGGCCAGAGGTGCAGGGGGTGAGAGGATTCACCAGAGACAGAATGGAGAGCAGAACAGGTAAATTTACTGCAATGCTCTGCTGAGGGGAGCAGCAGGAGAGATAGGAGAGGTCTGCTGCAACATGTGAGTAGCTCCCTGGCTACCTGAGGATCAAACTCATGCTGCAGAGGCTGCCGATAGCTTCATAGTGCTGTGTTTAACCCCTTGCACCACCAGGGAGACCTTTTTTAAAAAATATATTTTTTATATTTATTTTCTTACATTGTTATTAATTTGTGGACAGTATTTGATTATTCCCCTCATGTGTAGTTAGTCCCATAGTTCTTCCAGCACCATAGCACCTGTAAACCATCACCATAGTCCCTTGTGCTCTTCCCTTTCCTATTCTGACCCCTCTCCCTCCCCCTCACTTGCTGTAGGCCTCAGATCTATGGTCAGCTTGCAAGACGGAGATAAAATTTTCCACAATGCCTGGTTGCTACATATCTCTGATATTTATTTGAACCTCTTGGTAATCTCAAATCAAATCTCACATCAAGCAGAGATGTTGGTTAGAATGCAGTCTCATCTCCTATTCACGACTTAATCTCCTCAGTGTAACCTGCATTCCTAATCTCCTTATCTTGTCTTCCTCTACTCTTTCTTTCATCCAGTTAATGCTTTTACCATACTATAAAATTTAATTGTTTATCATGTTTCAACTCTTATGATTTTTATCTATTTGCTCATTGACATGTCCCAAAGCACTTAGTGAATGTTGGCTTGTTGACGTTCGGTAAATATTTGTCAAATAAATGAATGAACTGATTAAAAGAATAATTAAATCTGGCCAGATACTGTGGCCACTTGCTATGGAAATTTGATTGTTATGATTTTTTTTTGACAATTGGAGATAGTACCAACATTCCTTCTTCTAAGACGCCATTCTTAGGCATTTTTGTACCTGCAAATTGCTATGATACTGTAAAGCAGTTGAGAGAACAGCAGTCTGACTTGGCCATTCTGAGAGAGATTTGTTTCTTGGTCCTGAAACCCCCTTACTTGGTTGAGAATAAGAATGGTGGGATATATGGAGGGCTGCAATTCTCTGCCTCAAGCAACCATGATCATTCTAGGACTGAAGGAGTTACTGGTGCTTTAGAGGAGTTCTCTGTTGGTCTCTTTAAGTGTCAGTAGGGATCTAGATGTCGTTGCTTTCAAGTCTCTCACGACAGTTTGAAGTTTAGAGTTAACTGGAAGGCCAGATGTTCCTCTCAGCTTAGGGTAAAATCCACCATTTTTCCCTACAGTGGCTATTCAGTCTGGGTAGTGTGGCACATGAACCACCTAAGATGCCTGAAAACAAAAGCCTATTTAGGGAAGTGCCCTGGCAGTTAAACTTTTTTCTCTCTGTGTCCTGGGAAAAGGGATAAAAATAATGTCTGCTCTCCTATAAAAAGGTTAAAATTCACAGTGATGCTTAGCTTGTTTGAGGAAATACAACACAGAAATCAAAAATAATTACATATATTTCAAATTTGTTTTTTGTTTCTTTTTTAAATTTTATTTTTTTAAAGATTTATTTATCTATGCATACAAGAGCTGGGGTACAGGCCAGAGGTGTCAGGGGTGAGAGGATTCACCAGAGACAGAGTGGGGAACAGAACAGGCAGACTGACTGAAATACACTGCTGAGGGGAGCAGCGGGCGAGACAGGAGAGGTCTGCTGAGCCATGTGGGTTGCTCCCTGGCTGGCTGGGGATGGAACTCGTGCTGCAGAGGCTGCGGATTGATTCATAGTGTGGTGCTTAACTCCTTGCACCACCAGAGCCCATGTTTTTCATTTCTTAGTAAATGACAAAGCAGAAAGTTTATCAATGTGTGACTGAAGTCATTCTTTCTCCCCACTCTTTCCTCTCAGTGTATTTCATATGCACTTAGTATGTTTCATACACTTCTCAAACCTATTTTTCTCCTATTATGTTATCTGAAAGTCTTCCAGAAAACCCAGCTTTGTGGGTTAACTGATCCTCCTTCCACTGTTGAAGGAAGTTATAGCAGGTCTTGTATGACGGCCAACCTCCTCTACAGATGGTAAGAGGGGGCAACTGACCAAGAAGCTCTACCCTGCCCCCCACCAACCTGGATCTCCTGACTCCCTAAACAAGGAAGTGACTGGAGGCCACTGAGATATGTAGTTCTTGGAGTCTGAAAGCTTTCTTGGTGAGAAATCCTTAGTGGAAATTTCAATTGAATGAATGTGAATGTCATTGCTTGCATAAGAGCTGGAGCCAAGGTCAAATGCCAAGGTTTGTGGGCTCTATGCAAATGGAGAATAAGTCTTATTTGTAGTAAATATGCAGTAAATAGCTATTAAATAAACCAATAAACCTGAGGATAAATTGAAAAATAATTTAGGAACAAAATGACACCAAGAGGAAAAAAAGCATTGAATGGTTCCTACCTTCCTTCTTCCCCTCTCTACCAGAATGATTTGATCATTTACATTGAAGAAATTCATTGATTTATGGTTTCATTCTTCTGTTCACTTTGTCCAGCCCTTTGTAATGTATTTTTATGTTCTGTGTCACTTTCTCCTCCTGTCATTTTCTCCTGCTCTGTTTTTCATTGTATGCATCAGAGTAATTTTCTATTATATTGTTATATACAAAGGTCTCTGACAGGGTAGCTGTAAAATGACACAGCTAAGTGATACAGATTTTAATAACTTAATGATATAATGATTTTTAATAGAAACATAAGTAGGACAGATGCTTAAAAAATAAAGACGAAAAGTGTACCATAGAAAAGATGCTCATGAATGGGCCTCCCCTGGTGGTGCAGCGGTTGAGCGCTGGGCTGTGAAGCTACCCACAGCCTCTGCAGCGCTGGTTCGATCCCCTGTCGCCGGCGAGGGTCCCACATGGCACGCAGGCCTCTCCTGCCGTGCCTGCTGCTCCCCTTAGCAGTGTATTTCGTCAGTCTGCCTGCTCTGTTCCCCGCTCTGACTCAGGTGAATTCTCTCACCCTCCCGTGCTTCTGAATGTACCCAGAAAAGAAGAGATACTCATGAAAAAGTACTGAGGCAGGGAAGAAAGCGAGACAGGTAAGGACAAAGTTGGTAGATGTACTGGTAAAGGGGAAAAAGTCACAGTAGAGAAAAAATAATATCTGAAGTATGCAAGAAAGAAAAAAAAAGGATGGTAGATAGAAAAGATGGACTGGCTTCTTAATAGTGAAAAAGAGCAAATGGGAAATTGCAGAAAAAGGAAATCCTGGTCTGTGTTGTGAGCCAGGCCTGGTGACGAAGGTAATTGCAGAAAGAATACTTAAGGTAATAATAGTCAATGAGGA